ATCTATCTATCTATATATATATATATATATATATAGATAGATAGATAGATAGATAGATAGATAGATAGATAGATAGATAGATAGAGAGAGTGAGAGAGAGAGTGAGAGAGAGAGATGTGTGTGTTTGTGTGTGTGTTATATTGAAATTGCTTTTTAGTGCTAGCAAAAATAGTGATGGGTTAAACAAGTAAACAAGAAGTGTGTGTGTGTGTGTGTGTGTGTTAGGTGGGATTAATCTCTTGCTTACTGGAGCTGTCTGTGTCATCCACAAAGTCCACCTGGAAGGAATGTCCATTGTTGAGGATACCCTTGGCATTGGAGGGGTCATACCTGATCTTCAGGGGCTTCAGAGACGGGTCATACTGGGCCTCCTTCGTGACAATGTTGATCGGAGACTGTCTGGGCCCATTTGCAGTTGGAAAATTCTCAGCCCATTTGTCGGGTCCTTGAAACACAGCAATTTTTTTTTCTTATACACAATATTTTACATAAACATCAGACCTGAAAACAAGATAAATGTAATCCTAAAGAGTCTAATGTGTTGAGAGACATGTTCTGTAAATGAGCAAAATACATGTTTATATCTTGTATCTTAATTTCTGCTGTACATTGAAAGTCTGTTTGCTTCTGAAACTGTGGGTAGAAAAATAAAAATAGCATTTCACTGATTGGAAGGTCTCAGCTGTGAGTAAGTTGTTGCTGGTGAAATATTGTAGTTGTGAGTGAAGACTGTTGGAGAAGTTCTTTTAATATATCCTCTGCTGTAGGTTAGTTGACTAGAAGAAACTAGAAGATATTTACTTGATGGAAAGTCTGAGGTCCTTACCATTGGTCGGTCCATATCCCCATCCGTGAGACATGTCTGCTTCTGTATGCCTCGAGGGTTCCAGAAAGAATGATCCACATCAAACAGAGGACACACGCAGAAGATGATGGTCCTGTGACGCCTGCCCATCTGTTTCTGTCTTCACTCTGATATGTTGTCTCTGTACGCAGACTGATAGGCTGCCTCACACTTCACACTGCATCTGTATTCTCGCTGATTGACTGTCTCTGACCTCACGCTGTCTTTTGTCCCCAGACTGATGGACTACCTCTGCCCTCGGGGTGATGGGCTGTCTCTGTCTTCACACTGATGGACTGTCTCCATTGTCTCTGTCCTTCGACTGATGTGCTGTCTCTATCATCACACTGATGGACTGCCTCTGTCTTCACACAGTCTCTGTTCTCAGTCTAATGAGTTGCCTCTGACCTCAACTTGTCTCTGTCCTCAAGCTGCCGGGGGTGTCTCTGACCTCAAACTGTCTCTGTCCTTAAGCTGATGGGGTGTCTCTGACCTCTAACTATCTCTGTCCTCAAATTGATGGGGTGTTTCTGATGTCAAACTGTCTCTGATCTCTGACACAATCCTTGAGTTTAGGTCCCATTTGCAGGCAGGCGAGCGAGGCGGGAGTTTAAAATAAAAATAATTTATTTTAAAATTATATTATATTATAAATTATATATTATATATATATAATTATATTATATATAAAATTATATTTTATAAACAACAAAACAAAACAAAAGGCTGGCGTGGCAGCAAACCTTACAAAAACAATCAGGCAGGCAAAACAGGACGGGTACAGATTCAGACGGAGACGGATAATCGGACGTAGGAGGACTGAGTCGTCTGTGCAGAACAGAACAATGACCGGACGAAGAGTGGAAGAGAGAAAGGCTTTTTATAAGACAGAGGGAGAGTGAGTAATGGGAGCACCTGGGCAGGTGGCTGATGAGGGACAGGTGTGAATGATTAAGACTGAAGAGACTGGAGAGGCAGACTCAGGAGTGAGTGGAAGGTGACAGAAAACAGAATCAGAATCACACAAAATTATAAAGAGCAGAATGACAAACACAATAAGCAGAAAAAGGGGAAGACAGAAATACCAGACAGCTAGGGGACAGACTGTGACAATCTCAAACTGTCTCTGTCCTCAGGTGATGGGGTGTTTCTGACTTCAGACTGTCTCTGACAAACTCTCTGTCCTCCCGCTGACGGACCTGTTTCTGGCAAGTTCCTCTACGTATCGTACACTCTGAAGCAAGCCTACCTGGAAGCCAACCAGCCAAGTGAGGCTTATTCAGCTTTCCAAATACACATCGGCAGAATGTCAAAAAAATGAAAATGTAAAAATTTTATCTGTCTTTGCAGAAATGCTTGAGTCCCTGGCAACAGTCACCATGCATATCTGATGACACTACCCCACTCTGCTGTTGCAGGAGTTATGCAACACCCTTTGGATCTGTAGACCATGGTATCCACATTTTCTTTTCATCTTCTGACAGCTTTCTTTGACCTCTGCTGGCTCCTTAGATAAATAACTATATATATATATATA